ACATAACAACTGCGAGTCCAAAATGGCTGAAACTTCGGTGAGTAACTGTCAACAGATGAACAACGAAATTCACTAGCTTTTATTTACAAGTGCTGCTATCTTCACGTTGAGGTCGGAAACTTTTCAGACCACCCTCGTATTTTAACGCAGTCACGTCAAGTCGTCGAATTCCACGCGCTGCGAATTTGCGGCCGCTAATTTCATCACCGAGAAATCATCGCGTTACCACGCCGTTTACCTCGGCGGCCTCAATTAGCCCGCATAAAAACAATGCTCCCGCTCCGCTCTCCGCCCGAGTACGACGATTTTAATTGCTACTACGGCGCAATTACAGAGAAGAGAAATATCGCGCGGGCTTTTTCAGCGGGAGGAAGAGGAACACCTATACAAATTAGTGGGAAATGAGTCCCGGGATCTTCCCGCGCAAGGACCGCCGGCGACGCTTCGCGAGGACGGCGCCGCGACCACGCAGAGAGGACGCGGGAAGAAACGCGGGAAATAAGTGATGGAGATCGCGTCCTGTTTCCTGTGCGCGTCGCGGCGAGACAAAACGGAGAAACGTAGAGTCTGGAGAGGAGTAAAAAGGAGGAAGGAGCAGACGTGGAGGAGAAAAATCGTTCTCCCGTTTTTTCGCGGTGAAAATTCAATGAACTCGTGAGGGGAAAATCGCATGTCGCTCAGCACACAGCAGCCAAGAGTATCCTCGGGGACAACGCGGTGGAGGATCGCCAACGCGGAGATGATCGCGGCACGACATGATGCGTGAGGTGTTGTTTTCGTCCGGGAGAGTAACGAAGCTGTTTAGGTAGCGGCGGAATAAAATTATCGCGTGTCGTCCGCACGTGCGAGCAAGCGAACGCGGGGAGTCCGGAGGATGTTTGCACGCGAAGGATTACTCCGGCCATGCTGTACGCAGAGAGAGAGAGAGAGAGGGGGGGAGGGAGAGGGAGGGAGAGAAATGCCGGGCAAAAATGGAGGTGGCGGACTTTAACGTGTGGGAACACACAGCGCGCCGCGGATGCTAGGGAACGACGCAGCCGGAGGTGCAGAGGTGGGTTAGGTGAACCGAAGCAGCCGGAACAAAAGGCCCAATGCGCGCATCGGAAGGAATGCTACCTGCTGCTAGTGTGCCGAAAATACCATGCCGATACCCATCTGCGTGGTCCCCTCAGCTGCCCTTCCGCTCCCTCCATTTAAATTTATCCGAATTGCGATCAACCAGTTCTCCGCGCCCGTGGGCTATTTCTGCCTCGCCCTCGATCGAGCGCGAATTCGCCCCGCGCTCCTTCCTGCGCGTGTGCTGTTTGTATTTTTCATGAGTGAAATGTGTAATGTTGCACACGTAGTCCCGCGGAAATGCCGACTGCGCGTGTGCATTATTGTTTGTTGGGAATTTGGAAATGAGGTGGATAATTGTTTAATTGGCTCGTTATGCGATCAGCGCGGCTCGCGACGAATGATTTAATGATTTTTGTTCCTTTCACATCAGTGCTCGATTAGGATGAGTACGAATAGTCTGAGTGAGAATTGCAAAACACTGCGTCGCGCGTTGTCGCCGATAGCGCGCGATATCGCTCCCTCTGGAAGTTCGCTCATTATTCGCTGAGAACGTTGAAAATCTACGAGATTCTCAGTTCGCGATAAAGCTGAATGATAAGGCGATATTGTGATAGCGCCCAAGATTCAAAATTCGCGCTCGTATAAAACTGCGTGACACAAAAGTAACGAACAGATCGTGTAAGAATAAGAGACGGGAGACAGAGATCCGCGACACACGCACAGTTCAAAATCACGTGATACGGAATTCTAAAAAAAAAAATGAGTTTACAAATCGGCGCCGAATAATTTTCTGAATCAAAGATCAACACATATTAACCTACATGGAAAAAAAATTTAGTTGGATTAACTTTTATGTCAAGCATTTTTATATAAAACCAATTTTTTTTTTAATTTTATAATTGGAACTGGAAAACAATGAGCGAAAAAATTTTACAAAGTTTTGAAAAATACACGGAAAAAAAGGTTGAATTAACCAAATATCTGGTCGAATATGAACGATCCAGAAATTCCAATTGAAGTAACCCTAATTTTATTTAAGTTAACAAGATTTTTTACTTAAACAGAATTCAAGTTACTTTAATCGGAATTTCTGGATCGTTCATATTCGACCAGATATTTGGTTAATTCAACCAAATCTTTTTTTCCGTGTATTTTAATGTGTCCTAAATAAATGCCTAAATTGCCGTTTCGATATTGATAATAGCTTAGTAAAAATTAAATTCTTTTCATAAAAAGCACACATTTTGACTATTTGTTTATTTATAGTGATTATACAAATAAAAATTTACGGTTATCTTCTTTTTTTGCACTTTTTTGTGTTTTACACTAGAGATGAAAATGAAAACAAAAAACGGTACTTAACGTCAAGAAATTCGTTAAAATAATTAAAAATGTCTAATGAAATATGAACGAACTAGAATTCCGGTTGAAGTTACCAAAATTGAACAGCTGCAAGATTCTGGTTAACCAGAAATTTTGTTAACTCGAATAGAATTCTGGTTCGTTCATATTTCACTAGACTTTTCATTAATCCAACCAAATCTTTTTTCCCGTATGTAACACAACTCGGCACATGAGTCACCTGACTCATGTAGCGGTTACTTTATATCTATGGAAATTAAATTTCTTGAAAACGTTCCCCAATTAACGGCCGGTGTTGTAAGTCGGACACGAGACGGGGAAGGAAGAGAGGAGCGAACGACGTGAAAAGGAGGAGAAGGAATAAGAGACGCGGATGGCGAAGGAAAAGGAGAATGAAGAGGCGAGGAGGAGGAGGAAGAGAAGGAGAAGAGGAGGAAGAGGAGAGGAAGAGGAGGAGGAGAAGACTCGCGGCAGCAGGAGAAGGTGGAGGAAGAAGACGGAAAAGAAGAAGAGGAGGAGGAAGAAGACGATGGAGAAGAGAGCCAGGTCGAGGTAAAAGAGAGGCGTGCGGAGGAGAGCGAGGTGAGGCGAGGTGAGACGAGGCGGCGAGGTGGTCCGAGTTGGGTAAGGTGAGGGCTCCTACGGGTAAGTACCACTCACTTCATTGACTCGTGCGTACGCCCGCACGCCTGTCAGTCCATCCTCACTCACTCGATCCTCACTCACTCGCCTGGTCGCCGCGGACATTCGCGAGCGAGCTGAGAGAGGAGTACTCGGTACACACACCTTCAAATCGCCCGGAGCCGCCGGACTTTAGAGGTCCCGAGGTCGCAGGCCGCCAGCGGGCCGTTGCAGGCAGCGCGTGACCTCCGGCGGAAGGTCACCTACGCTCTCGTCTCTTTCTCTCTTTTTCTCTCTCTTCCTCTCTCTCTTTCTTTCTCTCTATCCCGCGGACGGTATCGGGCGCTGATTTATCGATTGTTTCGATTCCCCGGACCTCGCCTCGGCGACGATCAGTGCTTGTGGACCCTTCGCCGTCGGTGAACAGAGCTCCTCGGTCGGCGCCGGGACCAAGAGGAGGATGACCTTGGCGCGCGTCGTTAGGATCCCGGTGGTCCTCGTGCTGCCGTCGCTCCTGCTGCCGCTGCTGCTGCTGCTGATGTTCGTCGCGGACGGTTCGTGGGCGCATGTTTATCCCCGCGAGATCAAGCCAGGTGAGCGCTGTGCGCGAGACAGACGCGTGTTTTTAACTCATTAGAAAGCCGTGCCGGACGATCGTGGCCGTCGTTATCCTTTTTGCGATTGAGAACTTCTCTTATCGAGGCGTTCGGAGCGGATCGAGAGGAGAGAGAGAAAAAGAGAGACGGAAAAAGAAAGAGAGAGAGAATTTGCAAATGAAAGCCAACTTAATATTTCTTAAGTGAAAATGATCCGACTCTGGGCGTCTCAATTAACATCAGCTATTATCCTGATGTTTAACATTATTGGCAATATCATAGCGAGTACCTCTATGGCAAAATATGTGCGTTGATTAGAGAAACACGCTTGAAATATTTAGGAGGACGATGCGATTTTCCTCAAAAGACTTAGAAAATGACATGTTTTGATGGGCCAGAAACGAAAAGAGTTTGGTTGGATCAACCAATCGCTGGTGAAGCAATTTCGGTCGGAGTGATCAAGATTTCTAATGAACTTAAACAAAATTCTGGTGATCTCAATTGGAATTACTGAATCGTTCATATTTCACCAGAAGTTGCTTTGTTCGACCAGGCTTTTCATGTAAATATCTACATATTAAGATATGAAATGTAAAGTAACACATATGGGAAAGATAAAGTAATTTTATTACAATAAAATTCACGTTGCACTTCTCGTCCTCGCTGGACATTGCGACTGACAACGTCGCGTCTATAAATTCCGTATCGCCGTCACATAGATACTATTATATTTGAGAAGACCGTGAGTCTTGCGCGATATTTTTTCCCATGTGTCGTGAGAGCAGCCTTTCTTAAGAACTATTGTTTTCGATCGGCAGAGAGAGAGAGAGAGAGAGAGAGAGAGAGAGAGAGAGAGAGAGAGAGAGAGAGAGAGATCTATGGATCGTCTCTTACGCAACTGTAGGGCCCAGGGTTAATGGACGACGAGCACAGCGCAGTTTCTATCGAATCACGGCCGATCATGAGCATCGTTTATCATCCGGCCGAGAAGTAATGCGCCGCTTAAAAAGAGGAAAGGAACAACGAGAAAATCTCTTTGTTACTGTATAATGATATTAATAAATTTATGCCGTTCGTTCACACTAATGATGTCAATCTATACGATCGCGCTATTTTAAATTTCCAATTTTTAATTCTGCAAAAGTTGCCGTCAGCGTATTTGTTCTACAATTTATCATGTTTTACAAAAACAATTGTCGTTGTTTTCATCGAAGTTTTCACAACATGCAACGTTTCTATTATTATTTTAAAACACGCACGAACACATCTCTCTCTCTCTGTCTCTCTTTCTCTCTCTCGCCTAAAAAACATTTCGTCCGATTTAATTACGACCTTCGCTTACCTTTAAAGTAAGTAACGTTCGAAATTGCACCGCGTTCATTTTCGTCCTGTGGCTTTGATTAATCGCACCGTCCGTGAGTAGACGGATTTTCCTGGATTCTCACCGGTCGCGGTCGCCCGGCGGATTTCCATCCTTGTTCGGCTTTTTCCCGCCTTATATCTATTATCTCGCGTCACTTTAGCGGTCTCGGGACCCGTTCCCTTTCTCTTCATGGTCGACCTTCCATCGTAAAAAAAGAGAAAAGTGCGATCGGTAGCGTACCACCATTTTTACAGCAACGTTTTCTTCGGTGTTGTTTAATTACTGTCACGAAGAAGACGCTTCTTCGCGTTTATCACGAAAATTGCGTGATTAAATCGGGGAAAATAATTCAACGCTATAAAAGAACGGAGCAAAAATAAAATCGTTATTTCTTTATCGGGATTTTTTACATTATGTCTTGAAAATACAGAAGTAAATCCATATCTTATGATATTTAATTACTAAAACTTCTTTTAAATATAAAGATGAAAATTATATAATTTACATAAAGAGAATATATTTTTCATAGTTTTTTTTTTTTATATAAATTCTTTTTGATTTTACTGTTTCTAATAATATAGGAATAGATCTATCTATTGTCTGTGACAATATTGAGGTTTATCTTATTAAAGGGAAAGGGGACATGGTTTCAATTAATTGAATTTTAAATCATTATATGAATGATAGAAAATCTGTCAATAGTATATTTCACTTTCTACACGTAAAGAAATTTAGTTGGATTAACCAAATGTCTGGTGAAATATGAACGAACCAAAATTCTATTTAAAGTTACCAAGATTCAAGTTATCAAGATTCGAGTTAACCAAACAAGATTTCTAGTCAATTAGAACTTGCAACTGTTTAAGTCGAACAACCGAAGAATTCTGTTCAAGGACTCTTGTCTGAACAGAATCCTGATAACCTCCAACCGAAATTCTAGTTTACTCATGTTTTACCAGACGTTTCATTAATTCCACTAAATCTTTTCTCGTGTAGAATATAAATAGCACACACGAGATGAAAGTCAATTGCTGCAGAATAGTCTGCAAACCTAGTCTGTTCCTCGGTCACAAAATTCTACGATAAATTTTGCTGCAAAATTCTCTCCGAATAATAATTAATAATAATAATTAATAATAATAATTAATAATAATAATTAATAATTAATAATTAATAATTAATAATAATAATAATTAATAATAATAATAATTAATAATAATAATTAGCAATCGCGCATATTCAATCGCGAGAAGTAACAGTTCGCGAAATTTCTCTGACATTTTGTCGTCTCACGTGACGTAAGGGATTATTTCATTTGTTAGATAGGAGTTGGAAAATTTGATAAAACTTATTGTTAGGCGCACACATAGAGGTTAAAACATGCTGCACGATAGTCAAAGCCAATGCTTCCGGCAAGCATTGTCTAAGGCTCTCTCGGATTACTTGCACCAGCTCCTTCGCCCGTTCCTCTTTCGTTCTTTTATCCATTATGTCGCTTGTCACTCTCGAGATCGGGATCCGACTTTCTCTATCCGATCTTCGCGGACTTGCTTCGCGCCAGCTCTCTCTTTCTTTCTCTCTTTCTCGCGGACGCAACCGCCTAAGTGATTCCTCCCTTTCTTTCCATTCTACCGCTCGCCTCGTGCCGAATGGATCTTACATGGACATCCGAGCTTGACTCCGGCCTCTCTATATATCATCCCTCTTGGAAAATTCCCCTCTTCCCTCCGTCTCCCCGCTGTCCGTTATACCGGTGCCAGATCCTCGATATCTCGCGCGGAGTCTCTTGGCAAGATGAAACAGTATTGATACAACGCCATTACCGTGCTGTGCCAAAACGTCTGGCTCATCTCGCGCCATGACGGAGGAGAATCATAAGCGATCCTTAGTTGCGAGAGCTGGCAGCCTGCTGTCTCGGATGGAAAATGCTCGTCGGATTGCGTAGCGCGGAAGAGAATACGCGCCTCTCTCGCGTTGCCCCGTCAGTACTTCTTTCCCCCCGTCATCCTAGCTATGGAGATTCTCTAATTCTTAACGTTAGATCGTACGCGCGCCTTTTTACCGCGAAAAGTTGTTATAACGGGTCGCATGCGTGTAGCCGCATCGCGTCGCTTATTCAAACTCCCGCGGGCTTTGGCGGATGTGTTTTGCTGCGCACGTGCCTCTCGAGGCGAGTGAATGCGCTGCGTTTACTGGCATTTTGGGGGGAGTCGTCGAAATCATACCTCATCGATCATACCTGATCCTTTTTTCTGACGCTTATAACACACGCACAGAATAAAATGTAACTTGAAATTTTTTATTTATATTTCTCATTGCTGGCTTATTTCTCGTTTTTACTGTTAAATGTCATTCACTTTCAACAATAATAAAGAGATTGATGAAGTGCGATTTAAGAGATTGGTATAATTTCGGCAACTCGCCCCTATAGAGTACAGCGGGGTAATTTGGATAATATTAATAATTGTCGCGTTTGCGACAATTTCAGAAAAATATAAGACGCCATGTTTTATATTTGAGATTAACAGTAAAGAAGATACTGTGGTCTACATATTCATATAAGTTTCAAAGAATATTTGTCAATCTGAAGGTCTGTAGAATATTTTATATTAAGTAAAGTATGTAGAGAACTTGTTACTGCAGTTTATAAAAATATATTCTGCTAGTTTTATCAAAAACTTGTATAAAATCTACGTAAAAGCTATGATAACAATATTACCTAAAAATGTTTCTCGCATGTATTAGCGATCACCACGTCGACTAATGGCGCATTTTGTTGAGTTATATTATTGTAATATTATATTACAATATTTTTATATCGGCGTACGGGGTAAATTGGATACATTTTTATGAAGCAATTTGGATGACGCACTCAGTTCCCTAATATGTATATTTCAACTTAAGACACATTTCGTTATTTTAAAAGATGAGACATTATGAAAAAAGGATACTCGACTAAATTGGAACAAAAAAACAATGAGGCAATGGTATCATGAGCAATGCGTTGGAGCCAAAGGGAAAAACAATTTATTTGTGGTTTCGTATATAAATTTTTTATGTAACGCTAACATGATTATTTTTTTTTCTCTTATTAATTGTCTTAATTTTTGTTTAATTTTCTTTGAAAAGAGCAATTTAATATAAAAAACACAATAGATAAATATAATGTTTTGCTTTTATTATAATATTATAATATTCATTATAATTAATATGTTAATTATTATGTTAATGTAATTATAATTATAATGTTAATTTTAGTTAATGTTAGTTTATTTATGTTCGTTGTATTTAAAATATATGGGAATAACATGATTGATTTGACTTTTTAATTTGTATTCAATTTTATTACACGTTTTTCTAATTTATATTCAATTTGACCTGAAAAGTATAATAAAATGTTCAAAAAACATAAATTTTAAATATATGATTTGGTTTTTGTTATAATATTAATGCTCATTTTTAATGTTACTCAAATTACCTCTTAAAGTATCTGAATTGCCCCTCAAAATTGATCTTCATTAAAATTGTAAGAGTAAATTGGATAATGGCATTACGTCTCAAGATTTAAAGAGTAATTTCTCATATATTGGTTAAATACTCTTTAGACATGTGAGTTTCTTGCTACATATTCAAT